GCTATCCCGCCGGAACTCACAAAGGCATGGGTCTGCTATCCCGCCAGAACTCACAAAGGCATGGGTCTGCTATCCCTGTGGCTCCTCTGCTAAGATAACAGAGCCGCTGGAAGTTACAAGCCCCTAGCCTGTGAATAAGGAGCCCCTGTCTCACAGTGGAAGGTGAGGACTGGCACCTGATGCCGTCCTCCCACTTCCACACATGCACCGTGGGCTCCATGGCCCGCCCGTCCTAAACACTGCCTGTCACACAAATAGTGCCTTTCACCTTCCTTTCCTTGTATCACACTGGAGAAGTTGCCACTTCCATGTTCTAAAACACCCAGGAAACTGTGTTGAGAGCTCAGTCAAAAGGAATTATGGTCTCCGGCCAACAGCCAGCAATGGGCAGAGAGAGGCCTACTGAGAGCAGGCCTGAGTCAGCAAATCTCCTTCTTACTATTTTGTGTTGCTACCGCAGACACTTGATGTGGGGTAACATTTTAAAAAAGATTTATTTGGCTCATAGTTCTGGGAACTTGGATGGCACTGGAATACAGGTAAGGACCACCTGCTGTGTGTGCTCCTTTAGAGCACCCTGCTCTCAGGAAGTAACTCATGCAGATCATGCGGGCTGGCTGCACTGAGCACCCCCCAGAGGGCGGAGCCTGACTGCCCAGAGGGCGGAGCCTGACTGCCCAGAGGGCGGAGCCTGACTGCCCAGGGGGCGGAGCCTGACCGCCCCAGAGGCCACACAACTTCTTTGCTTTCAGTGAGGCCCCACCATCTGAAGGTTCAATCAATCACCTCAACAGTGCCACATGAGAGAAGCTTCCAGCACGTGAACCTTTGGGGAGCTCGGCAAATCCAAACCAGTTATCCCCAGTCCAGCTTTTAGTTTCCTGCGTCCTTAGGAGAGAGACCCTGAGTCAGAAGCAGCACCGGCCCTCAAAGCGAGGGAGACTGAGCATCCCCTAGACCCAGGAGTGTGTGACAAGCCTTGGTCAACACCTGAGACCCTGTCTCCAAAAGCAGTAAGAGGCAGAGGGAAGGCAATGCTCTGTCGCCTGCCTCCTGCCGTGTTAAGTGTAAGCACGGCTCCTTTTTCACCGCTCTTTTTCCCATTGTCTTGAGGAGGTTGAGCAGCATCCGCCAGGCTGGAGGACCGCTCGGTCCCAGTGTGCTCTGGCACTGCGGTGTTATCTCACAGCCAGTTACCAAGCTCTGAAACTCCCTGTATAAAAATGTGCCTGTGGAAGCTTCTGGTGGCACGTGGACAGTTAAAAGCAGGATGCTGAGGTGACATTTGACGTGGCTGGAAGCTTCTGGTGGCACATGGACAGTTGAAAGCGGGATGCCGAGGTGACATTTGACGTGGCAGCTGCTCTGCTGAGCCTTTTAAGCAAAGGACAAAAAGCGCCATCAGGAAGGTGTGCTCTTTTCCTTTGCTGTATTAGAATCCAGCCCTTCCTTGCCGGAATGATGGTTACTGCAGGGTTCTGACCGTTGTGATGTACAAAAGTCAAAGAACCTGAAAAGACCCCAAATCTGTGCAGCCCGATCAAAGTCGGCAGAGCAGAGCAAGGAAGAGCAGAGGGTGAAATAGTACAGAAGACAGGAACTGCGCAACCCCTGCGGGAAAATGATGTCAGCGCTGTGTCATCACAGCCACAGACAAGACAGCACAGGGACAAGTGTTCATGAGGGGGAGGAACAGACAAGACAGCACAGGGACAAGTGTTCATGA